GAAGCATAAGGAATTTTCTGCATCTCTTTCTTGTCTTTCTCACTTGTAGGACATTGATTCGAACTAAGCTTGAAGTGACCCGCAAGTGGACAACCAACCGGCTTCGCTTTATCCATATTGAACCTTTCAAGAACTTTCTCAATGTAGCTTTCTTATGACAACCAAATCAGCCCTCTTTACGATCACAAACAATTTTCATACCAAGTATTTGCTTTGCCGGTCCCAAATCTTTCATAGCAAAAGATTTACTCAACTCTAACTTCAACTTGTTAATCATGGTAGAATCTTGACCCACAATTAACATGTCATCAACATAAAGCAAAAGAATAATAAATTTACCATCTGAAAATTTTTTCACAAACACACAATGGTCCGAAGTGGTTTTAGAAAAACCATTATTCATCATGAAAGAGTCAAATTTTTTGTACCATTGCCGCGGGGCTTGCTTGAGACCATACAAACTTTTCTTCAATTTGCAAACAAATTTCGCTTTCTCTTTTTCCACAAAACTTTCCGGTTGTTCCATGTAAATTTCTTCTTCAAGGTCACCATGAAAAAATGCGGTCTTCACATCAAGTTGCTCAACTTCAAGGTTCATACTTGCAGCCATGCCAAGTACAATCCGAATAGAAGACATCTTTATAATCGGTGAGAAGATCACGTCAAAGTCAATACCTTTCTTTTGTCCAAAGCCCTTCACAACAGGACGCGCTTTGTACCTCAGAGTTTTGCCATTATTCTTCAATTTGAAAACCCACTTATTTTTTAGAATTTTTCTCCCTTTAGGCAACTTCACTAAATCATAAGTCTGGTTTTCAAGCAGGGAATTCATCTCGTCCTCCGTGGCCTTTTTCCAATCACCTTTCTTTGCATGCTCAATTGCTTCTTGGTAGCTCTCAGGCTCCCCTTGATCGAAAATCAACACAAATTCATTGGGAGGATACTTTCTTAAAGGTTGTCGGTCCCTTGTAGATTTCCTCAACTCAAGTTATGGTGGCGGTTCTTGAGTTGGATGCTCTTCCTCAATTTCTGGCTCAACTTCATTAGGATTAGCATTATCCTCTACATCTTCAATAGGTGGCTGTACATCTCTCCCGTTTTCATCATCAACTGAAGATGATGGAGATGAATCCATATCAATGAGATCACTAGTTTTTGGCTCTGGTTGATCACCTTTGCCAAAGTCTTCAATTGTTTGGTCTTCAAGAAACACAATATCACGGCTTCGAATGACTTTCTTGTCAACCGGATCCCACAATCTATACTCGAATTCATCACGCCCATAGCCAAGAAAAATACATTGTCTTGACTTACTATCAAGCTTGGACCTCTCATCCTTTGGAATGTGAACAAAAGCTCGGCAACCAAACACTCTCAAGTGCTCATAAGACACATCTTTGTCGGTCTAAACTCTTTCTGGAACATCACTATTCAAAGGATAGGAATGAGACAAATTGATCACGTCAACCGCTGTCTTCAATGCCTTACCCCAAAAGGATCTTGGCAATTTAGCTTGTGAAAGCAAACACCTTGTTCTTTCCACAATGATGCGGTTCATCCTCTCGGCAACTCCATTTTGTTGAGGATTCTTTTTAACTGTCTTTTGATGCCGAATACCTTGGTTGTGACAATACTTATCAAATGGCCCAATGTATTCACCACCATTGTCTGATCGGATGCACTTCAATTTCTGCCATGTTTCTCTTTTAACCATGGCCTGAAAATGTTTAAATACTTCTAGAACTTGATCTTTAGTTTTTAGTAGAAAAGCCCAAACTTTCCTTGAATAATCATCAATGAAAGTAACAAAATAAAGTGCACCACTATATGTTCTAACTTTTAAAGGATCACAAACATCCGAATGAATCAACTCCAAAACATTTTCTTTTCTAGAAGCAACATTTTTATGAAAATAAACTCTATGTTGTTTACCCGCCAAACAATGAACACAAGTTTTAAGATGTGTACCTTTCAAACCAGGTAGAAGCTCTTTCTTGAACAAAACTTGTAGCCCCTTTTCACTCATATGGCCAAGCCGCTTGTGTCACAATTTGGTAGTAGTATCATCTTCAAGTGCATTGACAACACCTTTACAAATTTTTCCTTGCATCGAATAAAGTGTATGAGTCTTCTTGCACTTAGCCACTACCAAAAAACCCTTTGTGAGCTTCCATATTCCATCACAAAATTTGTTGTTGAAGCCTTCATCATCTAGCTTCCTAGTAGAGATCAAATTGAGGCGAATGTCAGGAACATGACTCACATCTTTAAGCAACAACTTGCAGTCCAAATTTGTTTCCAAGCAAACATCACTCGTGCCAATAATCTTGGACAAACCTTCATTACCCGTTCGAACAAAACCATAATCTCCTTCGGTGTAAGTAGTGAAGAAATCAACTCGAGAAGTCACATGAAAAGAAGCACCGGAATCAATCACCCAATTGCTCTCTTGGCCCACAAAATTGATACAATCATCTTCACAAACAACCATGAGATCATCAGTGGTAGTAACTGCTGTTGTGTCTTCTTGCTTCTTATCCATACTTTTGTCACGCCTTTTCTCCTTGTTCTTGAGCTTTCGGCATTCTCGCTTCATGTGCCCTTTCTCATGGCAATAATAGCACTCAATGTCTTTCTTTGAAAAAGAACCATCTTTTGATTTGTCACGGCTTTGATCACGACCATGAGGAGTCTTACTCCTCCCCCTTGTTTTGCTTCGGCCTCTCACAACGAATGCTTCCGAATGAGAGTAACCCGCTGATTTTCTTCTAGTTTCTTCATTCAACAGACTACTAGTGCCTTGGCCCATTGTGACAACTCCATCGAGCGCCGAATTACTAACGGTCACAACCAAAGTCTCCCAACTTTCGGGCAAAGAACTAAGTAGCATCAAAGCCTGCAACTCATCATCAAAAACAATTTTCATAGAAGTAAGTTGGTTTACAATACTCTTTATTTCATTTAGATGTTCCGAAATAGGGCTGCCCTCTTTATATTTTAAATTAACCAATTTACGAAACAGAAAAGCTTTATTTGTGACTGATTTTCTATCATAAAGACACTCTAATTTTTTCCATAAATCATGTGCCGAAGTTTCAGTAGCAACATGATGAAATACATTGTCATCGATCCATTGACGGATAACACCAACGGCTTTTCGATTAAGCTTATTTCATTCATCATCTTTCATACCCTCGGGTTTGCAACTATCACCCTCAATAGGCCCATACAAATCTTTACAAAATAATAGGTCCTCCATTTTAGTTTTCCAGGTTACCCAATTGCTTCCATTGAAGCTAGACATACGACCCACATTCCCCTCCATTGATTTACACAAATAAATAAACTCAAATAAACCGTAAGCTCTGATACCAGTTGTTAGGGAAAATATGTGATTCCCCACAAGTAAATCAATCAATGGAAATAAAAACTAATGCGGAAAAATTAAATCAAAAGCAACACAAGAATTTTTACGTGGTTCCCTCAATGTGAGGTACGTCCACGGGATCGAAATCCGATTCCACTATCAACCAAATAAGTTTCCAAATGATTACAAACGAGACACGAATAGTCTCATAAACCACCTTTAGGTGAATTCCAAATAATCACAAATAAACAACAAGAAAGACCTCACTAAATAGATGAACAAAAATCTTCAGAACTAGAGTTGAAAAAAGATCCAAAATAACGAACCAACACCAGCCAAAGATGCCCCAAAACCGAGCTTTAAAAAAACCGAAATTGAACCAATATGTAGCTGCCCCGTATAGACCAAAACCCACCAAATTGATAGCCGCACCGTTTTTGGTTTTCTCACCTCACCGAAAATCAACCACGTTGTAGCTGCCTCACAGATTTTTCAAGAACTAAAACAATATATATATATATATATATATATTGAATTTTGAGTTTTGAAATCAAATCCTAATTATTACCAAACTGAATTAGGTTTTCACAAATTAGATATAATATATAAAAATATATTATAATTAATACTAAACTAAATTAAACTCTTTTTCCAAAATTAATTGGATCTCACACTCCAATAAAGAAATATACCCAACAAAACTCGGATGAATGATGACTGGCGTAGGCGTGAAGGCAAGCTTCCTATGTTAATTAGAAACTAGTGGTGAGGCAAATACATGTGCAACTATATTAAAAAATAATAACCACTATTTTGCATATTTAAAATTGTTATAATAAGTTTGAAAAAAAAAATGTCATTAAAATTCACCAAGAAAATTAAGTTTAAAACCATATTGAAATGGAATACACCTAGACCTCAAGAAAAAGTGAAAAAAGATAAAGTAAAATAAGAAAAAATATTGAAACGCTGCGTTCTTCAAACAAATTAGCTACGCGAAGTTATTTAGCAACTTATGTTCTTTACTTTTCTTCACAGGTATCAAAATTCTAGGCAAGCAAACACTTGAGAAAAATAGCTATTCATCTTTGTTCTATAATAAGAAGGAAAAAAAAATCATAGATTAGCTATAGTTTGTCTGTCATGTACTTGTGGATCCATTTTGGGCCATCTGAATAATTTGAGCCGTTTATTTTATAGGTCCACAAGAAAATCATTTATATAAAAAATTAGGTTGATTAAACATCGGTAGCTATATAATTGGATTACAAAATAATGAAAAAAAATTGACAATTTATTCTTAAAATCAAATTTTCCGTCCATTTTCTTTTTGAATAATTTTGTGATTCGATCATGTGATTACCGATGTTTGATCAATTTAATTTTTTGCAATAATAATTTCTTAGTAATACAATATGAACTATTTAGATAATTGAAGTGGACCCAATGTATGGCCCACAGAGTCTTGAGTTGATACCCTCCAATCCAAATAATGGACCAAAGTGAAGCTAAGTCTTTTTAATTAAGGGTAGTTTATCCTTTAATAAAGCTCGAATGCATCCAGAACATGGAAAGTAGCTTAATTTGAATTCAACTTTTGTTCCCTTGTTTTAAACATCTGATCGATGTTTTTCTTCTTGATAGTGGTTTTAAAAAGCAGGAAGCTGATATTGATTCTCGGAATAGGTAATATTCATTTTTTATCAATATTTATCTGCAGGAGTATTTTTAGCTAATTTTTTGATGTTATTACATTAACTTAATTTTTCTCTTTTAATTGATTACAACTCGTTCAGCTGCTGCTGGAATTGTGAGTTTAGTAATTCTATTGTTCTGCATCATATGAAAACTTGCGCCAAGTGATCGATCCACATTCTTTTGGAAGAACAAAACAGAGAGCAACCAGAATGTTAAGGCCTTTCTAAATAATTATGTGTCTCTTTCTCCAAAAAAGTACACTTATTCTGACGTCAAGAAAATGACCAACTCCTTCAGAGTTAAACTTGGTCAAGGAGGCTATGGTTGTGTCTTCAAAGGAAAGTTAGACAATGGATGCCTTGTGGCAGTGAAGGTTCTAAAAGGGTTGAAAGGCAGCAGAGAAGAGTTCATTAATGAAGTTGCAACCATTAGTAGGACTTCTCATGTTAATATTGTAACTCTTTTGGGGTTTTGTTTGGAGGGTCACAATAGAGTTCTCATATATGAGTTCATGCCTAACGGATCCCTTGAGAAATTCATTTATGATGGGAATTCCTTGGCATATCACCAATTGGGCTGGGAAGTGTTATACCAAATTGCAATTGGCATTGCTCGAGGATTAGAGTACTTGCATCGTGGTTGCAACATGCGAATTTTGCATTTTGACATAAAGCCTCATAATATTCTTTTAAATGAAGACTTTTGCCCAAAGATCTCCGATTTTGGCCTTGCTAAATTGTGCCCACAGAAAGAGAGTATCGTATCGCTGTTGGGTGCTAGAGGGACAGCCGGCTATATTGCCCCAGAAGTATTTTGTAGAAACTTTGGGGGAGTTTCATACAAGTTAGATGTCTATAGTTACGGAATGATGGTTCTCGAAATGGTTGGAGGAAGAAAGAATATTGATGTCGAAGTTGATCGTACTAGTGAGATATACTTTCCACATTGGATATACAAGCGACTTGAGCTAGATGAACAACCTGGAGTGCATGGCATTATGAATGATGAGGCAAATGAAAGTGCAAGGAAAATGATTATAGTTGACTTGTGGTGCATACAAACAGCTCCCTTGCACCGGCCATCAATGAGCAAAGTGGTGGAGATGCTAGAAGGGAGCGTGGAGTCCTTGCAAGTCCCGCCTAAGCCTTACTTGTCTTCTTCCCCAAGATCACCACCAGATTCTTCAACTACACTCGTGCCATAACATTGTCCTATTCACAATGCATACTTCTATTGCCAAGGTAATGCACTACTGAAAATTAGGTAAATTCTCTCTCTTTATTGGCTTTTGTTAGTGTGTGCCTGTTTCACAGTAGAATTAAACCAAGATTTAGAAACTAGTCTAGAACAGATGCACCAGATGTTTTGTCAATTTGATTGAATCAGAACAAGGCATTCAAATTGGGCAATAAGGCCACCCAAGGGGATTAATGCTCTCACTTGGACCATAAATTGTTCCAAACATAGTACACCCCTGTTTTATAGCCAAATTTGGAGGTTATTAGCATTTTCCATATATTCTAGAGTCTACCTTATTACTCAATTGATAGAACTTGAATGAATTCTAATAAATATGGAACTTTTGAGTCCCAAAAATCTTTTTGACTCAGCCAAAACCAGTACCAATGGTTGAGGAAGGTGAATGTGATCACTCATTAGTCCATTTGCACTAGGAAAATAGTATTCTTATAGAATTTTTATGCATAACTTTCACCAAAATGATGTAACTGGCATTGTGGTAATTAAATATCATTTTAATGAGCACTCTGTTTTAAAGTAATAAGACCATATCATTTTGTATGCAACTTATGAATACTTTTCTGTTTTCATTAATCTTTTGCAGCACCTTGAATTTGCTTTTGTACACAATGTGCTGCTTTCAACAACTGTTGCAAAAATAGGTTTTGGGATGCGATATCGAATGTCATAAAAAACATCAATAAAACCCTCGGTAACACAAATTAGTTTTAAGGAAATGGTGTAATTATGTCCGACAGAATTGTATGACACAATTTATGGCATGAAAGTTTGTGGACTCGTAAAATATAGTGAATTATGTTTGTGCAAATTCAGGTTATGGAACTACTTGAATTCATTCTGCTTTAGAATAGGGAATATGCAAAACATCTTGGAGAATTTGATCATGATCAGCTGGTTGTACAGTACATATGCTAAATGAGTAACATATTTGGTGAAACTTCGACTTCATACAAAAAGAAAAGAATAGTGAGGGCTTCATTTTTCTAATTTTTGTGTCCTGTAGTGTTTAAATATTGGATTTGGGGAGTAATTTGTCAAGGAAAAGAAAAGAATTAAAGTATAAACTTTTTCTTTGCAAATCTCTGCACAAATTCAAGATTCAAATACAATCTTAATATTATGTTAGCAATTTACTACAAGTTCTGAACATAAAATTATCTGAACAGTTTTAGTTTTTTTACTTCTTTCGATGGAAGCCATATAATAGTTAATTAGATTAAATCCATTGAATTACAATGGTGAGATATTGAAGAACATAATCCAGTGACTACTAAAGGCAAAGGTCTTCATTTTTTTTTTCTTTTCTTGCTAAGTTTATTAATTCCCGTTTAGGAATTTGGCTTTTTTTGTGGTCTTTGATTTTTTGACTTTTTTTTTTTTCGAGGTGAAAAAAGTTAATATGTTTAGAACCTTTTTTTTTATTCAATTGATAATTGTGTGGGAAAAAGTAATTGGTTGATAGATATGTATGATGTGACTTTTTGTTAGTAGGGTTGAAATAGTTACCTTTCTTGCTTTTTTTTTATAAAAAAAGTCTCTTGTCAAACCAGGCCTAAAATTGCAAAATTTGCAGTATCTTCTTGACCATAATTTCGTATGAGTAGAGTCCTAATTAAAATTATTTGGTAGTTAAAGTCTCCAAATTTTTAAAATTTAGAAGAGTCAGTTTACTTTTCACATGTTTTAGAGCACACTGCTAGCAACGACATCTTCACTGGAGTATCAACAAAAATGGAGGCTTAATCCCTCTAGCGACCTGTTTGGAGTGTTGGCCCATACTATGGAGATGCAAAAACCTAAGGGCATGGATTGTTTATCATTTTCTGGATTTCTTCATGAAAAACATCACATATGAGGACATGATTAATTCTTTTGTCTCATTAGAATCATAGATCTCAACACCATGATTATTTACCAGGTTAAGTTCTTTTTTATCTCATTAGAATTCTAATCTTCTTTACCACTTTCATGTATGTTAATTACAACTCTTTTTTTTTTTCCTCTTCTTCTTGTACATTTATTTTTGGATAAATTATAAATACACCCCTTGAGATTTGTTTAATATATGAATTGCCCCCATGCGGTTTGGAAAATTACAAATACCTCATTGTCAGAATTTTTCATTTAACATAATTAATTGAAAATGTGAAATTTCTAACTATTCACCTATACAATAATAAAATTATATGAATTATTAATTGAAATAAAATTTTAACATTATTAAAAACTGTTAATTAACTTGATAATTTACTAATAAAATGACCTATTTGTTATGAAATTAGAAATCTTAGGAGGCATAATGTAATTTCTAGAACTACAAGAGGTAATTTGTAATTTAAGTAAATCTCAAGGGATGTGTTTGTAATTTATCTTTTATCTTTTGGTTTATTTTTTTTCTTAACTGATGTTAATTTGGGGTGGTGATGATTTGTTGTTGGTGCTCATTATTGTGGTTTGGTGACAATGGTTGGTGGTAGTGGTGTTTTTCGATCCTCAAATTTGTAATTTTGTAGCTCATAATTTTTGAAAGTTCTTTATTCAAAAATAGAATTGTAACATCTAAACTTGTTATCATAGTGAAATTTCGATGGCTTTAATCTGAGAAATTTACTAACTTTGTGTTTGCCTTTGCAAAGTAAAATAACAAAATCATATTTTATATAGTAAGGATTTTTACGTAATTTTGTAGAATTAATACTGATCAATTAATATCATCATATTAATGCATAAACAAACACATTTTATCTTACATCTCTAATCTAATCTAATACCACAATACCAGTAATATCATTACTAAATTCAACCATACTCATAATTCCTCTTAACTTTAATTTGACAATCAAACATGGTTCTATGGAAATGCTAGTCCTATACAATTTTTCACAACTAAACTTGATTTAAAAAAAATGATAAATTACACTATTAGTTCATGTAGTTTAAGTGAAGTGTCACTTTAGTGCTTATAATTTCTAATATATACACAATTAGCTAGGACCCGAGTTAGGTTGATCAACCAATGATGGCCCACAACCTAGTGAGATTAAGGCCTACCACCATTAATAGCCCAAGACAAAAACTGTCTATAGAAAGCCAAGGTATGGACAAAAAAATATATCCTTACTGTCTCTCTAGGTCTATTTGTTTTCCTGCATGAGTGGTGGGATTGGATTATGATAGCTGTGGTTCTCATTCATGGCATGTTTGGTTGTGAGATCAACAACTGAATTAGTACTCTAGTCGGATTCATAATCCCATTGAGCAGCTAGACTAGTACAGCGGGGGGAAAGTTGGGATTGAGAAATGAGTGCATGGAATTAAGTTTCAAATAGAGTTTGGACACGAGTCCATGACTTTTGGATAGAGCACACGGCTGTTCCAATGGGTGGTTATGTTAGCTCCAGCTCATATGAACGATCTCCCATGTGATGTGTCATGCCAGCTTGAAAGGTGAACGACCACCTTTAGTAAAGGAACCGAAAGGCAAGTACACAGCTGGCCATGTGTTGAGCCAACTGTGCTCTTTAGCTTCCTTTATTTTGGTGTATAAATGGAGAGGCTGAGAGGAGAGAAAATGAGCAGCAAACACAGAGAGAACACCAAGAGTGAGAGTGTATGTGAGTGAGTACTGTAATCTTTCTCCAAATAATATATCGCTCTCCGTGGACGTAGGCAATTGCCGAACCACGTAAATATTCTTGTGTTACTGTGTGGAATTGATTTCTAGTGTCCCAATAGTCCTAACAAGTGGTATCAGAGCTTCGTCGGTCACGTTTCAGAACAAAAACAGAGCGTTGTTCGAAACTGCCCAGAAATCAAGTTATTCGAAATCTGGTTTTGAGCATACCAGGAGCAAGGTCTCAACGAGAGGAGTCCAGAACTGCAAAGCAGAGCTCCAGAAGACCTCACACGCGCCTCATAAAGAAAGCGCGTGAGTCACACGCGCTGAATAGCAGATGGAGTGTCGCTCCACTCGCACGCACGCGCCCTACGCGCAGCTTAAGGAAGAAGACGACTATGTGGCAACCACGCTATCGCCACGTCCTATTACGTCAGCGCCACGTGTGCCACGTGGATGACACGTCATCAGAGTTGACCAAGCCGTTGGCCGAGCCGACGTCGAGTCACTGAGCCGCGCCGTTGACTAGAGCCGCTCCGCTTCCAAGCCGCGTTGACCAGCCGTTGACCGAGTCGTTGACTGAGCGAGCCATTGATGCATTGACCAAGTCGTTGACGAGTTGACCAAGCCGCTGACATCAACCTGACGCCAGCCGCACAGGAGGAATTATCTGGTGCTTATTAGCCACACCAGATTCGACAAATCTGAACTGTCCAAACTATTTTGGCCTAATTTGAGCCATTCTGAGTCCGTTTTTGACGATCCAATAGTGGTTTTCAACTATTTGGAGTATTCCAGACATATCCCTATGGTCAAAATTTTCATTTGGAGTTTTTTGTAAAATAAAAGAATACAATGGAGGATTCTACATCAACTTCAGAATCTATGTTCAAGTTAACTCCTTCAAATTATGCAATTTGAAAGCCATGGATGGAAGACATCCTGTTTTTAAAAGACTTGTTTGACCCCATTTTTATAAAGGGGGTTAAACCTAAAGGAGCGAAAGATGATGACTTGATAAAGATGAACCGCAAGACTATCGGTTTGTATCAGACAATGGATAGACCATGGTGTGTTCTATCATGTTGCCAAAGAGACAGATACCTATGCTCTTTGGACAATGTTAAACGACATGTACCAGTCAAAGACCGCCCGAAACAAAGCCTTGGTGATGAGAAGGCTAGTAAATTTGAAGTTGAAGAATGGTGTGTCTATCGCCGAGCACACCAGTGAATTAAAAAAATCTGGTGAATCAGCTTGCAACCGTCAAGATGCGCTTGGACGATGAAATGCAAGCCGTACTACTGCTCAGTTCTTTACCGGATAGCTGAGAGACATTGGTGGTTTCTCTCAGCACCTCTGCACCATAAGGGAAACTGACCATGAGTATGGTCACAGACGCCATGTACAACGAAGAAACAAGAAGGAAAGACATGAGAGGTAATCAGTCCTATAATAAGTCCCATGCTCTTGTCACAGAAGATAGAGGCAGAGACAGAGGTAAAGGAAGAGGTAGAGGAAGAAGCAAGAGTAGAGGCAGCTGGAACAACATGAGTAAATCCAAAGACAACAAAGGTCGAGGTAACTCCAGCTTCACTTGCTTTCACTGTGGCCATGAGGGTCACATAAAGAGAAACTGCCCAAGCTGGAAAGAGAAAGGCCAAAGCAGTAAGTCAAAAGGAGATGAGAATACAACAGCCACAACAACTGATGAAATACTTCTTGTAGTTGGTAAAGAGAAAGATTGTCACGCCCCAAAATTTGAGACAAAAATATATATATATATATATATATATAAAGTACAACTCAAACAAGAGAGATAGCCACAATATTTTAATATACACATATAAGCAGAGTTATAACATAGATAACTTATTTGAGTTTCACTAGAGGTTTACAAACATTGTCAAACCAAAAGGTAAAAGAAGAGAGAACACAAAAACAAACTACTTGTCCAAAGTTTCAAGTGAACCACGGCTCTAAAACTTCATCTTGATTGTCTTCAGGATAACCTTCCTCGTCGTAAGATGCTTCTTTACCTGGCATGACACGCCATGAGCTTGGAATACCCAGTAAAAATACACACACCCCCATATCTTCTATCAATCGATCAACCATACACAAAACAATTCAAGTAACATAACATACT